AAGTGCATGGTTGGCCCTGAGGGCTTTCCCACTTTACTAAACCTATGGACCTTCATCCGTCCATTCATTTGTTCCATCCCGTCGCTCCTTGCATTCATCTCTTCGACCTAACTTCCTAACCTTTGTAGTTGCATCATCTAGACGACCATTGTCCTCGTTCCTCATACACCTGGCCATCTGATGATGATCGGATAACCATCTGATTTGAGTCACACATCCCCAATCACGAACCGTGATTGTGGATCCCGAGTCGTCTGTCCGTCATACGAAAATACCTTTCTGACACAATTGTAAAGGAGGTAACTTGATTAGGGTTCAAGTCATTGTTTACCTTTAGAGTAAAGATTTACCGCATCCACCTTCATTCCAAAACAACCGGTACATGTGTGCTACATGTAGTACCGGATCCTGTACGATTTGATATTGATAGACTCTTTCTATTCATTGTAATCATCCTACTTTTTCCCGATATATTCTTATGCAAAATGGTGGACAATCTATACCCCAGATGTGTGTCCTCTTTCCCGCCTCTTCATGCTTGAGGTGCCGTATTGGCTCTTGCCGCCTTGTTGCTGCCTAATAAACAAGCCCCCTTTGTCTCATGACTTTCAGTTCCAGGGCCATACGAGTCGACAGTGGAGCGGGATGGATACCTTGGCTTGCAATCAGGACAAGACGAATGTCGTGTTTCTCCACCACCGCACCTCTGCCTGACGTGGTTGCAGCTGGAAGGGCGAGTGGGGCGCCTTGGAGGACTCACGCTTGCCATTCTCGTTGGTTCCTTTGGATGCTGTTGTGGATGAGCCATGGAACTTCTGCCTCGTCGTTGGCTCCTCAACTTATTGTGGCGGCGTTGACTAGGCGATGAGCAGGGATTGCTGTCCCACCGCGAGCAGACTGGCGGTTCCACTGCACGTTCTTCTGTTTCCTTGTGAAGGCCTCCATGGCCGCTTGCATTGTCCATGACAATCTGAAAGGTAAAACCTTGGGGGAGAATTGACTGTGCCATCTTCTACAATGGTAATAGTTACTAGTAGCTGCTACGACTGTATGAAGTAAGGTACAAGCAAATAATGGAAAAGCAATGGAGGAAATTGTGAGACCTCACTCTTTTCTAGCTAGTCTCGTATCTTTGTGTGTCGCGTGTCGCGTGCGCGAGTGCATGAGCACCCTTTGATGCGAAGACCCTGAATCCTTAATTCGATATTGCCATCCCCGCATTTTAGGGATCTTATATTTCATTCTCGATGACCAAAATGGTCGAAAGGAGAAGCCTCGTGCGTTCACAGTCAGGTGTACTTCGTTAGTACTTCGTTCGAATATTTAACAGGATTTAGAGACGAGATCTTGAGGAGCCGTATTTTAAAATAGCACTTCAACTGCTGTTTTGCAGTTAGTTTGCCATTAATTTTTTTGGGAACAGAGAAAGATGGCGTCTCGGTGCTGATGCTCAATTGTGCATGTTACTACATACATGTACTCGAGTACTGTATTGCAAGTGCCGTAAGCTTGTGTGAGTGCATTGCTGGGGCTGGGCGGCTGGGCACGGCATTTTCAGCCCAACAGATAGAGGACAGTACCGCCGACAGAGCCATCTCATGTGAGCTATCTCATGTTGCCTGAAAACGAAATAAGCTGTACGAGATCGAGTCACACATTTGCTTCACACTGAGTTATGCCTTGCTTTGTCTTTTAGGCCCCAGCAAAATGTTCCTGTTCGTTTCCCAACCGAAAGCATCTTCAAGTTTTGAAGGTCCTGCTGTATTACTGCCTAGTGGGATCCTTCTGGATTACGATAGCTACCGGTATGGGTTTAGTGGCCTACATTAAATTCTAAATTCTGGCTGCACCTGCTGCAGCATGCCTGCAGGACACCAGCCAGTCAGCCAACAGAACCAAAAGAATCGTTGGAAGTTGGAACAAGAGCTGAACTTGCAGGCAGTTGACCTTTCGTTGCAGTCTCGCTGGATCGCCTTTCCTCTTTCCTCCCACAGTCAATCTCCAAGCTCTGATTGAATCATTCACTGATTCAACCTCCCTCGATTGCTTTGATGCGGCAACTGTAACTCTGGTGCTCTCCTCGCGGCTGCACCAAAGACAGCCACGTGGCCGGCAATAACGATTGCAACGCAAGCAAGCTGGGCTGGCTGGACATTGTGGACGGGTAATAGAACCTTTGCAAGGTTGGGAGGCAATACTACTTGTGACCACATAAAGGTTCAGAGGTTTGATGATTGAATCATTCGATTTGATTCTGAATACCAATGATCCTTATACCGGTACGCCTTTGTTTCTGCTCGGTTGAGCATTGCTCTCACTCGAGCAGCTATGATGTGCCTTCGAGGCTCTTGTGTTCCTGCCTGCCATCAAGATCTCTAGGCGTTGGGATGATTGAGGCGCTATTGATCTCATCCACTTGACAGTGTCTTAGTCCTGTGATCCTCTCCGTCCTCCTCCCTTGCTTGCCACCCTTTCCTTCTTTGGTGTTGCCATTGATCTGCTCACTCGTTTATTTGGCTCGCACTCTTGCACCCCCCTCCCCTGAAACTTATCCTCACCATAGTCCCCTATAAACCATTTAACTTCTCCCGCAGAATTTATTCTCTATACCAACGAAACATCCATTCCTGCTACATACTACGATGAGCTCCAGGCATTGGTACCATCATGACAATCTTGATCTTTACCCCTACTACACTTTCCTTTGATCCCTTCTCAGTCCTCCTCCCTGACCACCCTTCCTCCTTCGGTTGCAGTTGGTCTGCTTGGCTGTCCAGCTCGCGTCCTGGCCGCTGGCCGCCAGCCCTCATCCTCTGGAGTGACGAGTCGAGTCCGTTCCCACCCATAGTCCCTCACACCACATATAGTAACCTGCAATTGATTATCCCATTGGCAAGGACGGCAGAGGCCTGGTTGCCTCGCGACTTGACATCCTGCCACTGCCAGTTTCGTGCCTTCACCCTGGCTGCTGTTGCAAAGAAGGTCCATCACTTCCCCCCGCGACCAGATTGACCAGAGCGAGTGAAGCATCCTGCTTGGGAAGCTCTATATTATAGCACTGTCAAACCCACAGTTACCTGCATTACTCATTACTCCCGAACAGAAATGAAGGCATGCTGTCACTCACACACTGTCTTACCCCAACAAGGTCGGGCAAGATCTAGAGAGTCTGTGGTGACTGTTGGTTGGGAAGAATACCTTGATCCCTCGGGGTCGATCAGCGGGTCGCACGCAAAGATTTCTTGTCTGAATCCGTTATCAATAATTAGCCAATGGACTTTGAGTTTGTGTAGGTGCCACGGTTGGACTTATCATACGGTCGTATCATGATTAGCTCTCATGATGATGATGTTCCACGAGGCTGCTCTTGTGAGTTAGTGGGGTTGAGGTTGCAAATTCCTTATTGACAGAGTTTTGGGAAGTAATTCAAGCACCACCCTACTAGCTAGCTAAGAACCTCGAAAACGCCATGGCACCTTTCGATAATAGTCGATTCGAGCACCACCTACCAAACCGGCCCCCGGTATGAAAGCCTCCGACTCCAACGAAACACGCAAGCCTGCCCAAATTGAGAGTGGTGTAATACATGTACATGTAGTGTCTGTTCTTGGTTCAGCGTGTGACGTGACATGTCCAAGACATCGAGAGAAAAGGGGTGTCAACCACAGTGCCTCTCCTGGGATCTAGCAAGTCTAGCTAGGAATCGCAGTTTTTTTTTCAGGTTGCCCGCAGCTGGCTTGGGACGGACCTACTATCACAGCAGCAACGATTGTAGTTCGCAAGAGGTGCGTTACTGAGTGTTAGAGTCGACTAGGAGGGGAGAGTGTAGGCCGGGGAGGAAGTGCAGCTGGACAGGAATAAGCAGGCCATCGGAGGAATGGGCCAAAAGAAACAACGATCGCATTCTTTCAATTGGGGCCGGGGGCAAAGATCAAGGGCGCCAGGATGCAGTGAAGTACTACAATGTCAGTGTGAGACCACAGTTTGGGCTTCTAAAGCAGAGACACCACTCATCACGAAGTCTTGCTACATGTATGTGCATGTAGATCTACCACTTGGTAAGAGAACGATTGGAGAGAAGGCTCTTTGTGGCTCTTGCATGCATTCAAATGCAACGAAGGCTGCATTACCCTGAACGTGACACCAAGGAGCTCATGAAGGCATGCAGGTCCCCTCTGCGCTCTGCGGTGATGTCTGTGACAACCAGAGGACTGGTGGCAGATGGTACATGTACAGCCAGCAGCTCAGCCAGCCATCTTCTCTACCGGCACTCTTGTGGTGAGTGTGGGCTACCGTAGGAGTAGTAGACTGGCTAGCTAGATACGGTAGCCAGAGACATGTACTGCTTACTACTAATAGCTAGAGCCACCCACAGTGTTCTTTGCTTCTTTTGTTCTCTTGACTTTCTCCTCCAATAGCTCCTCCAATCCAGTCCGTCTACGGTATCCATGGGTGAGTTATTGCAACGATTATTCATACTTTTTACTTGTAAAAGACGAGGTGAGAGAGATGGTTCCTGGTTCTTTGCTGCTGCTGGAATGAACCAAATTGTGGCGGTGTGAAAGAGAGCCTGAAAGAGCAAGATCAGACCAAGAAGGGGAGAGCCTTTTTACCTGTTTTTGTGATATCTTGTTCTCCCTCGGGGTTTGACCTTTCCGTGTTTTCCTAAGCCATGAATCTGTGGAGAAACTGTGGAGAACAGCCTATCGTGGCCAAAGCCGATTTTAGTGGCAAAATCTGAACAGTGAGCTCATTGATGAGACAGTGAGGACATCCAGAGCTCATCCAGTTTCCTTCTCGAATTGAAGTTCATCGGGGTTGTTAATTCTTCAATGTTTCTGCGTGAATCTCTGGTTATGTTTTTGATAATGCACACTCAGTGGAAGAAGCAAAGACGACACTTCTCTGGTGTCGTTTGCGAACAGACACGGTTAACCTTCGAGTCCAAGTTCTTTACGACCTGTTTGAGTCCGTGCTAATCCCATCACCATCGTACGTACCTTGCGGGGTTGCGAACCTTACTCTGTCTGCTCACAATTAGTATCACAAAACTACCATAGCTACTCAAATACCTACCTACTAGAAAAAGTAACCATGGCATTCCTGGCTCTTCTACCTACCGCCTCTTGCTACATTATCGTCACGGACAATGCAGCAGGGAGATGCTATCAACATCAGCAACAGCAGCAAGCTACCATTCCTGAGCCACCTACCAGCCCCATCAGTACTAGTAGGTGGGAAAGCATTCCCTCCCCCACGCTCCGCCAAAGAGGGCGTAGGTCCACACCTTCAGCCTCTTGCAGTCGCTGGGAAAGTTTGCCTTCCGAGAATCGGCTGCGCAGCATGAGTCCTCCCCATTGCCCCCAGCACCTGGATTGTTCTTCTTGTGCTGCTGCTCAGCATCATAGCACCGATTCCCTACCTAGCATGCCCCTACGAGCAGCTTGCTGCAAGCGACACAGTACGGGAAGCTTTGTCCCCAATGCGGCAATGATTAGCAAGCTCCAAAAGAACTTTCAAAGAAAGCAGGTAGTGGCACAGGCGTTGCAAGAACTGGAAGACAACATTCTAGCAACTGGAATCGCCGTACTAAATGTACAGGAAAACAAGCCACAAGAACCAGAAGAAACAGAAACCCAGGGGCAAGTCTAACTTCACAGTTTTTAGTACGCTACAGACATGCATTGTAAACTAGAATCATCGAATCAGCTGGCTATCTACCTATAATAAAGAGCAAATTCTTGACAGACCTACATAAAATACATGTGTAGCTACGAGTACCGCAGTCGCGTCCTTTGCTGCATTGCTTTGGCCAACCTAACCCGAGTCTCCCTATAGCATGAAATTACAGATCAATTGAAGCCGAGACCACATCCGAGAGAGCAGCCACCCAACCAGAGGAGGTGCGACGACAAGTGCCCACGCGATGCCGCGCTGCGCTTCCGTGCGTATTCTGGACCAGTGGCTGTCTAGCTAGCTAGCCAGGTGTACCATAAAAATGCATTCTTCCTTATCTGATCTTACGACTAGCCACTATTCATCCGACAAAATCCTCCTTCCGTTCTATCATCATGTATAGAACTTCTTCCCACACCAGACCCATTTCCATCTATTTGCTAGTTCCATTGTTGTTCCACATGCAATACTTCTTGCCAAACACCCATCGAGCCACCAACGCCAAGCCCGACACTCCAAGAACCACCACGGCCATCTGGGCACCCAACAGCCATTCCAGGACGTACAAGGGACCGCAGACGAGCGAGACCACTACCATGAGCAAGTACTGTCCCACTGTGGATTGGGCGTGGAAAAACTCGGCAAAATCAAAGGCGACTTGGACAAACTGCGCCACGCCGCGATCCGTGTACGTACGGCACCAATTGGGGTACAAGCCACCCATGCAGACCAATCGCGGCACGGTCGTGACCGTGTGTGCCATGGCATGATGGGACAAGAAGGACCACGTGGTGCCCCACTTCATCTCCACAAGTTGGGCATTGCCGCCATGAGGTTGCAGCGACACGTAACAAGAGGACACGACACCATCCACAACCAAGGTTCCATCGGATGTCATGGGTGCGTACAATCCTTGACGTTCAATGGTTTCAATATGTCTCACGACGGCCAGTGAAGATTTGTGGATTCCACTGTCGTCGGTCTTTGTCATTGTCATCATTTGGATGGTATCTCCCACCTGGATAGATTCGGCCGTCACGGGAGCATCCTGGTTGTCGAGATAGATCAAGTGTAAGGGCGTCACTTCGAGCGGTGTGTTGGCTTCTTGTGCTTGACTATCGGAAATTGTCGTGTGGATGCGCAAAAAGGTGGCTGGTGTTGTGGTATCCCTGTGCGCAAACGCATACACGGGCCGGTAGACTCCCGATGCCGTCAAGATTTTGTCACCCAATTCAATGTCCGTAATGGGCGTGACGGAGGGTGGCTGTGGCTCATCGTCGTTTTCGTCGTCGTCTTGTTTGGGTAGTAGCTTTTGAACAGTGGCTTGGTGAGAAAAGCAAATGCCATCACCTCCTCCTCCATCATCGCCGCCGCCACTGGAACCATCTACGGGCGCATCCGTGGGCGTGTCTACGGGCGCATCTGTGGGCCTTGGCGAGATTGTGACGGGTGCAGTAGTGACTGGCGGATCCGTGGGCGAATCCGTTCTCCTGTATGTGTCCCACAAGGCGTTCATTCTAGCAATTTGCTGTTTTTGTTGTTTTTGTTTTTGTTTTTGCAGTGTTGTCAAGGAAAAAATTAAAGAAGGCATTAATATGTGAGATGGAAGTTAGTTGATGAAGCTGGCTCCCAGTGAAGCAACTGTTGTCGAAAATTTGTAGCAAACAAAATAGATGTATGGTACACAGTGTAGGTACTCACGAGAGTGGTAAAGTGATCTAGGCACCAATCTTCTCCAAAGTTCTGAAAAAGAGCAAGGAAATATAACAACGTAAAATCAGCATTGGCTTGTGTTGTCATGATTGCCAACGTAAAGCAAAGCAAAGCAAAGCAAAGCAAAGCAAAGCAAAGCAAAGTGAAGTGAAGTGTCGTGACATGACTGACCATAAAGTTTGTGACATCATCCTCCCCATCCTGCCCTGCACCTGTACAGGTATCTCTGCCACGATCACACTCGGTATCTGCATACGCCTCCGCTGGAGTGTCTGCCACAAAGTCCCCTTCGCCACTGTGGTGTCAAGGTGGCAAGGAGAAGAATGAGATGAATGAATGAATCTATCTCAAAAGGGCACTGGTACTGTATGCATCCACACAAAAAAAGTGATGCACCGAATCGAAATGCAACTTACGAGCATCCCTGGTGAAAGGTGTGTTCAAGTCCCATCCAATGGCCACTGATCGAAAAAGCAAAGTGGGTGAAGCAAAGCAAAGCGAGTGAAGTGAAGCAAAGTGTAAGATAGATGATAGAATGGTATGAAGTAGTGTGAAGTAGTGTGAAGTAGTGTGAAGCAGCATGACTGAATGAAGGAATAGGAGTGACCGACTTACACTAAATGCACCAGAGTGTCCCCATCATGGTAGTTTCTTCCAGAACAGCAGTCTCCTCCAGGTGAAGTTTGGTAGTAGACGAGGACTCCGTCATCCCATTCCCTGGATCCGCAGAAGGAAGGCAAGGTTGCCCAACCCAGGGATTCCGTTTGTCCAGTGGCATAAATGTTCAAGACGGAGCAATCTCCCTCCCTCACGCCTTGCTTCATGGCACGTTCCTCAGAGGTACTACTTGCGGCCGTGTACCAGGCGCTATTGGCGGAGGTAATGATATCCGAGCTACGTAGGGAAAAGCTAAAGCCCGTACCACCGAAAGCCCCATTCAAGTGGCTAATGGCGGCATCAATGTAGCTCAAATCGTTGCCGGATCCGTCGTCTTGAGTAATATGGTGCCACACGACGCGAATGTCAATGTCGCTTTCAAAAGCCGTTTGTTCCAAAATGGGACAATCGTCCGGCGTGCACTTGTGCGTCGAAAGCCACTCGCGAAATGCCTCGGTTTCCGCACCGTCGCCTTCCGGTGTGCCGCACGAACGACCTTGCAAATGGCGTTGGTGAAAGCTAGCCAAGGCTTCAGCTTCATCGTAATGCTCATGCTCATCGTGATTATGCGTGTGCTCATCATCGTGATGAGTGTGTTCGTGTTCGTGCGTGTGGTAGTGTGCGACCGCGCAGCATTGGTCGCGGGATAGGTAGGCTACCCACGCACACAGTACGGTGAGCAGCGACCAGGGCTTGAATAAAATCATCTTGCTTTCTTTGCTTGGCTTCACTTGAAAAGTAGCTTATTTGTAAGTAATAATAAGATAAACAAGATAAGATAAGAAGAAATGAATGAAAGGCAACACAACCAACCTACATGTATTAGCTTACCGCCAACAAACAAAAATGAGGGTGGTGGTAATAGTGATGGCGGTGGCAGCAATCGGAATGGGCAGAGTCTTTTAAAAATGTGAGAAAATGACCGAGGACCCAAAAAATTGAGCCACTGGCCGAGCGAGCAGAGGGCCACAAAGTGAGTAAAAGCCGCTCGCGATCCAACGTTAACAGCCAGTTCTGTAGCACAGAAAAGCTTCCGGAACCCCAAGCTTTAAGACTGTGTACTCGAGTACTCTTTTCATTTCAATAATGCCTGACCAGGAAAGATGTCACTTTCTTTTAACTAAATTAATTAAACGATTGCTCACTGTATCAACCAATCAGTCCTACCGGTATTTAAGTATCCTACTCTTACAGGCATGATGTCACTGTAATTTATCAAGAGTAAATGGCTCAGACATTCCTTTCTTGAACAGCAGCATCCAGTCTTCGGTCGTGATGTCATGACTTCCGTTACATAAATCCAAGCTCATAAAAAGGAAATATCATGCACAAAATCCACGACTTGGACGGGCTATGTATCCATACCAATGATGCCCACTCCAACCAGATCACCACAACCATGCTGCACCGCTGGTGCATGTGTATCCCAATGGCGGCAGGTAGACTACTCAAACCTACAAGACCAATGCTGGGACAGGTGTTCTGGATTTGCCGCATTGCATGCCGGATGGATACCGTACACTTCTTTTACTTTGGTGCGCGTACCAATCAGTCGGAACAGTGACTGCATCTGGGTGGACCACCCCAAGATCCCTGACAAAAAAAATGACGGTGCCGGTCCAGCCAATACGGTACATACATCATGTTGGCCATTGTCCAATAATAAGTCCACTACTAGCAGCTTGCCCTTGGATCATGATGATACAGTACAGCCAGCAGTTTGTAAAGACGCATGGCTGTATTGCTTCCAGCACGCAGAAGCCACAACATGTGCAGAGCAATCTGACTGACACTTGAAAGTGGTGGGGATGATCTGCTCCATGGCTGCATTAATTCGAGCCCTACCGTATGCTGGCCCCTGCAATGGGTATTCTACTTATCTATCGCAATAGCTCCAAGTACTCTATGATGGCAGTGATTGGATCCTCCAAGAAGTCAGCAGCAGAATGCCCCAAGGTTTTGATCTTGATTGATGGCTGGGAGGAATGGAATCAGAGCAAATGGCAGGTTGGAATGTAGTGTTGCCATTATTTCTGGTGATGGGACTAAAGGCCTCCAGTTTTGCATACTATGTTGGTCCTGACACAACTAAATGTTAACACAATCCATGTCCAAAATTGTCTTGTCCAAATGATATCAGGGCCAAGCTTGCCTCTCCCACGTCCCACAGTTTTGCCCATCCAGAATCCTGCCTTGGCCCCGGCCTCAATCTTGCACTTCTATTAGGCAAGTGGTGGTGGCTGCAAGCCATGGACAGGTCATTTTTGACACTGCGCTCCGGTTGCTCCGGTTCATTTCTGGGAGTTCTTTTGTTGGGTTCAAGTTGATGCATTACCAGAATATTAAACTGTGCTGCCTCAGCCTCCTCTGTTGGCTGCATGATGTGCATGGACACGTCCATCTAATTGACTATGTTTGCTCTACCAGTAGTATGATAGCCACCAGCTACATGCAGTACTGTTTTTTGCCTCATTCATGGTTGTCTTGGTCTGTGTGAAATGCCGGGGTATCGAGAGTCGAGAGAGGATGATTTTTGAGTCTCGTGGCAGCATCACGAATTGCATCACACCACCTTCTTCCTACATTTTCATGCATCCAAAAACTAAACTGACTGACCTGCCGGAGCCTTGAGCTATGGGCAATCCTTGCATGAGGTGCTACTGCACACCGGTGGCCGCTAGCCCAGCTAGCTACCGTAGCTACAGATCTGATCCAGAAGAGGAAAGACTCGACTTCCATCAAAGGACAAGGGAGCCGAGTGCAAGGGAAGAGAAGCCAAGCCTAGAAAAGTGGGATCGAGGGTGAACCGAGCGGATCTTCTGTGAATGGCAAGAAGAGCTCCTGCAGCATAAAAGACGTGACACTAAATCATTATTTCACTTTATTGCCAGCTTTTAGAGATGCTGAAACATGTTTGTTAAGCCTTTGACACTCCTTTGATTTGCGGTACTGAAAAAAGGGAAGCGAATCCGTGCAATCCGAACACAAGCATTTCCAAAAAATTAATCTGAAGACCACCCTTCTAAAGCCAAGAAGCCAAGATCTTTGCCGATACACGCAGATCTAATAGAATCTGATGTACGAGTACTCTAGTAGCTAGCTAGCTACGGTAGTATTAGATGTATGGCAATTGCCAATGCATGCCGGTACCCGCCACAGGTTTCATTGAAGTTGTTTGGTGGATTTAGTTTTCCTTTGGTTTGGAATAAAATGAATGCAGCTCGGACGTATCATTCTTTTTCATCTTCCTACTACTAGGCAATAGAAGCAACGCACCAAAAGAAAAAATGGCGATGACCTTGCTTCCTTTGCAAATGGCAAACATCAGCATTGCAATAATTATTGTCCCTGACAATGCCAGGATACATCACAGTGAAGGGGCTCTCCCAAGATCATGTGTGCAATCACTCCCCGTTTCATTCTCTCGATGGGACAGCAATCCGTGTGCTAGCAATACTACTGGTACTGGTAGTATTCAACCCAGCACCAGCACTGGTGGGTGCAATGATTCCACAGATGACCGCGACGAGTCCAATCAGCACACACAAGACTCCTCTGATCATGGTACCATGATTGGCAGTACCGGTACTGCTAGAGACCGCGAAGGCACGTATTCCTGTCGGTGGGAGAGTGTTCCTTCCAAGAACCGCAGGCGAAGTATGAGTTCACCGTGTCGCCCTGGGCACAAAAGAGACAACAATAAATCCATGGCAATATGATCTCACAAAGAGAGAATCTGATGAGCGAAGCTTCTATGATGCAGCCACGCTGGCTGTGGGTTTACCGCAGCGCTTCTTTCTACTAGTCCTCCATAACCAACTATTGTAATCCTCCATTTTTATACAAGTCCTTCTTGTTGTTCACTACAGAGCAGTAAATGTACTGCCCATATACCCGTTCATCATTGTTCAAACCTCCTGATCCAGCCACCTATAGAAGCTCACTGCTCACGGGAGCACGGGAGTGTACCTAACGCGATGGCATAGTTGGCCTTTGCGACGTATTTGACGTCACCCGGTCTGTTGGCTGTGTCTCTGCCTGCTACATGTGCCCTATCGTGGCTGGTACCAATGTAATATGTGAGAGAGATCTTAGTATTTTTATATTGTGTGTAATCGGATTGTGAGGGTATCAAAAGGAGTTGCCCTGCTACTAGTTAAAACCATGGAGATAAGCAGGCAGCGAGAGTTGTAGCCATCACGGAGCAACATGCAGGTTTCAGTCATGCGTGGCTCAGTCATGAGTGGTTCAGTCATGACTGGTTGAGTCGTGCTAGTCGCGAGATACTACAACATGTAGCGACTCGACTCTTTTCCCTCGGCTGCTCGGCTGGGCAGACACTTTCGTTCTCTGCATCCCCCGGTCCCCAGTGGATCGGTTCTTCAGTTCGAAGAAGTTTGGCAGCCAGCCCAGTGCCCAGTGCGCAAAGGGGGTGGTGGTGGGGGGAACTGGTTTATTGCCAGGCAGCAGACCTAGTAGTACTAGTTTGTGATTCGGTTTTCCAACTTCAAGCAGCTCTTCAAGCTGCCGGTAGCTGTGGGTTGTTTTTCTGGCTTTTAAATCTATTCTTGGAATCCTAGGGAACGCTGTCTTGGTGTGGCTTTTATCATGGCAATTATTCGTTTTGTCCAACAGGCTGGATCCAGTAAACGCCAGCGTTGGGTGCAATATATTATTGTATGACTACTCAACTTGCCAGTGGCAACCTGCATTAGACAAAAAGTACAGTAGTTTGCGGGACCTCTAGCTAGCACTAGGTAGCTAGATAATTCCTATCGTCCTATCGATAGTGCAGTGTGCAGTGCTTGCTTCTTGGGTTCTATTTACAGACTACTAGCTAGAGAACTACAGAAGTACATGTACAGAAGTCCATGGTTCACCGTTCACTGCAATGGGTGGAACCTCCACGAAGCTTGTGGGTGCCGCTTCCACGCTTCCTCCGTCCCAGACTGCAGCCTCTGGCATGTACCGGTACTGGTACCGTTGTCATGTATGTACCCGTCTTAGCGTATTAGTATTAGTATTATAGTACCATGGAGAGCCATGGGCTCGGTTTCGTCTGGTGCGTGCTCCAGCTGAACATGATTGAATCGAATCGGACCCTTCTGGCCAGATCGATTCACAGATCAGACAGCTGATCAGACAAAAAGCTTCTGTTCTCCAGCTGTTCTCCACAAGATCGAATGCACATGACCATTCATGACCTTTAAATCAGTCTGCAAGCAGTGCAACACTGGAGTGTTCTAATGTTCTAATCTTCATTTTGATCAAGAAAGAGCATCATCGGGAGCTATGATGAATTAAAGGTCAAGACACCCTCAAAGAAAGGAGCCTACCATTGGTATGCTCTTGGTTGAAACTTGAAACTTGAGTGACATTCTTTGAGCTCATCTTGGGCCTTCTCCCTTTCTCAGTTCGATTTATTTATTTATTTTGCTTCTAAGGCTACCGTAAAGCTAGCTTGCTAGGACGGAGTTACGGAGTTAGGCCGATTGCAGCGATAGCCGTGCCGGTACTAGCTATGTCTGTACGGTACTCTAGCTAGTACCGACTAGATAGCTGCTAGCTGAAGCTCTATGCTACGGCTGTACTACAGTATTGTCTGGTACCGGTTGGGGCGATAGAACTGGGTTGGATTCTTTTGGAGCAGAACCACTAATTCGTTGCATAATTCGTTGTGAGGTTGGCCGGAAGCAATCCACTTCGCCGGTATTGGCGACTAAGCAAAGGTGAACCGAATGACGTCCAAGTTACATGTACACGGGCTACCACAGTGCCACAGTGCCACAAGCCACAAGCTAGGTCTACTATACTCTAGCTAGCTCGGGCAAACTGAATTGAAAGATGATTGATGATTCAATAATCAGCTTTTGGTCTCACAATTTCGTAGCTAGTCTCACAATTTGCATAATATAAGCAACCCAAGCAGAACCCAACTAAAATGATGTCCATTTTTTTTCTTTCCCAGGATGCAACCTTTGAGGTGGATATTGTCATGGACAACGCCCGCTCTCATCAGAGTCAAAGCAGCATGAGCTCAGGCGAAGATACATGTACTGCGAGTGCACCAAACGAACAAGAAGAATGCGAGGAGGATGAGATGCAAAGCAGTTCTTCTCGATGGGACAGTATGTCTTGCAGTCGTCCTCTGCGATTGCCTTCCAAGTCCGAGCCAGCAGACGAGCAAGAGCAGGACGTCAAAGACTTTGCAAGAAGAGGACGGGACATGTCCAGTACAAGTACCAGTACATGTAGTAGTGACAGTCGTTGGGATAGTCTCCCCGCACCCACTTGCAACCGCTTTCGCACTCGTAGTGCCAGCCCTCCCGCTTGTCCGGTCCGTGGCCAAACGACATGTATTTGTCGTGCGGACCACTCCTTGGAGGAGGAGGAGGAGTCACAAGAAGAACAACAACAGAGGCAGGATTCCAGGCCGTCTCTGCCCTCCCGGTTGATCTCATCATCACCGTCAAACGCCAAACAGGCTACTAGACGAGTATCTGGAACTATCATTACAGGAGCATAACACAGTAGCTACATGTAAAATAAGACAACACTGTCCTCATAACTAACTAACTAACTAACTAACTAACTAACTAATAGTTTCACAACTCAAATAAATATATCTTGCCAGGCATCATGAAAGCAACGAGCGGCTTGGGGATACTCTAATACTCTTTAGTACTGTACCTATTTACCACATCAACAAGGCACACACAGCTTGCTTGTTCCTACCACCAATAGTTAGCCATGTGTTACTACAAACATACATGTCGATTCTACTAGTATTTCTTTCTGAATTCAATCTTTCCTTTTAGTTTCAGCCAAGCCGAGCCAAACCAAACGAAAACTTGCTGCGTTGGAGGTGTATATGCAGGGTTACATGGTTGTGATGTTGGCAGTACCGGTATTAGCCAAGCGGCAACACAACGTTTATTAGAACACTCTGCTGGCTTGCTTGGGTTCCGAATCTTTCTAAGTCAGCGGGAGCTGCGATACCTCGGCAGAAAGACAGATAGAAGAAGGATGACATGTTTGAGATTGCACTCTTCTTTCAAGGTAGCCCTGGCGACAACACAGAGTCTGGTGTTGTCGCCAGGTATCATTCCCTCATTATAACCTTCTTTTAAGGTAGCCCTGGCGACAACACCCGACTTCGTCGTGTGTTGCCGCCCGTTAACCATAATTTTACAGCTGTCACTCCCGTATGTACCTGTAACTTATGTAGCTTCTTCTGGCTTATTGTGTTGAGTGCACTAACCTTGAATAACCATGATTTATTCCTACCCCTAAATTTGTAGAGTTGGCTTGTGCCTATCTCTATCCCTATATTTTGGCTTCACCGGAACAGGAAATAGGAAGCAGGAAACAGGAAGCAGGAAGCAGGAAACAGGAAACAGGAAGCAGGAAACAGGAAACAGGAAGCAGGAAACAGGAAATACCAAAAAAGGGGGTGAGGGCTCAGGCAGATAGACTGCCGAGGTAATCACCTTTAGAAACGCTATGTATCCCGCCTAACAAAGAGCGATTTTGTTTTTACGAAGCGTGCTAATTATTCTGGCTAAATGTATTTTGGATGCTTATGTATTTGTTTGTCCTTTATGTTTTGGAGACGAGTTGGTGATGAACAGGCGACGACACGGCCCAACCAGGTCACAGCCTCTACACGTGTACTTGAGTACTAGCTAGCTACATGTACTCAGTAGCTAGCTAGACACCGGCTTGTTGAGGGAACCTTTACCCTACCCGTACCGGTACCGTTTCGGTGCTCCAGCTACCCAAGTTCGCGTGCACCTCGTTAAAACATGATCAAGGCACAAAAATTGAAGCTTTCAGCTCACAAGAACAAAGGATTTCACTCTATTCAGAAGCCACCCACCATGAAGTTTGTTTCTCCCATCACCATTACTACCGGTGTCATCGCATTCATGGCCAAGTCCTGCAGTAGTGTTATTACTGACTGTGGTATCCCCGTCATGATCATGGATAACTTTGACGATTTTGGAATTGAAACAATTACGATGACAACTGGAACAACCTTCATAGAATGCATTGTTTCATGCACCTCTGCTGTCAGCCTCAATGTTGTTATAACAGATGAACTGGGAGATCTCTTGAGCACCATGACAACCGCAGAAGCCTGCGGAGACCCCATTAGGGCCATGACAACCCTGGACTCTGTTGACTTAGAATTTGCTACAACCAGCAACATTGACCTGGTCTTCACATGCATTTGCGAAGATAGAAGCGCTGCTCCTTCTGTTTCTGCTGTTCCTTCTTCTCTCCCTTCTTCTCTTCCTTCTACTCTCCCTTCTTCTGCTCCTTCTACTGCTCCTTCTGAAGTTACTTCTATGGTTCCTTCTGAAGTTGCTTCTGAGGTTCCTTCTTCTCTCCCTTCTGTTCTTCCTTCTACTCTCCCTTCTTCTGCTCCTTCTACTGCTCCTTCTGAAGTTACTTCGATGGTTCCTTCTGAAGTTCCATCAAGTCTTCCATCTACTCTTCCTTCTACTGCTCCTTCTTTGGTTCCTTCTACTGCTCCTTCTGCTGGTCCGTCTGCTGCTCCAGTTCCTGCTCCTTCTGAACCTCCTACTCCTTCCTCTTGTTTTTCAGAGCAAGCCACTGTGCATGTGGAACAACCAGGCCAAGGCCAAGTACAGCTATCCGCCAAGATGACAGACCTCAAGATCGGAGACATGATCTTTACAGCCAAGAACCGATTCCAACCAATCTATGCCTTTGCCCACAACGATGCCACCACTGAAACGGAATTCCTCCAGATCCACACCACAAGTGGCAAGAAACCATTGGAAGTCACTGGCCAGCACTTGGTCTATGTGCAGGGGAAGGATTCCCCAGTCACAGCCAAATCCATCAAGGTCGGTGATAGTCTCATGGAGGCTGAGCAAGAACAAGAAGGAGCTGCTGTTGTTGCCAAGATTGAGACTGTCCAGCGCCATGGCATCTATGCTCCCCTGACTCAGGATGGCACCCTTGTGGTGGATGGCTTTGCATCCTCTTGCTACATTTCCCTCCAACCCAACGGTGATCCCCAAACCATGGAACTACAAGGCCATTCCACATCCATGATGTCTCACCACTGTGTTGCTCATATGCTCATGACTCTGCCCTGTTTGGTTTGTATCGGTGGCATCAACCCCAAATGGTGCGAGACATACAATGACGACGGTGTGGCTGTTTTCGTACAGATGGCATTTGATTTGTCTGACTGGTTCCATGTCCAGCACTGGGTGGTCCAGATGTTCCTTTTTGCTGTCTACTTGGTGGTCTTGTGTCCCCTTTATGCCATGGAGCTCTTGTTTGGTGCCAAGCTGGCTGCTGCCGTGGTGGTTGGTGGATTGGTCTTTGTGGGTTCTGTTGTCCATGGAAAGAATGCTCCTGCCGTGGATCCATCGGACTTGAAGAAAGAAGCTTGAAGCCCGACCTGTTTCAAATGTTGCTCTATGGAATTATTTGGGAAACCAAAACGTACAACCTACATGTATTTGAAGGGAGGGAAAAGTTAAAGAAGGCTATTACTACCTGTTGGCCCCGGCTGGCTTCCGTAGATAATTTCCCTACAGTACTCTAAAACCCCCCTTATATTACTATCTGATACAATGCCAGGCGGCAAAGCAATATTTTGAACGCTTGGCTGTCTTTTTTAGGGTTAAAATGTTTTTATTTAGGGTCTACCAAACACTGGATACTAGTAGTCTAGGTCCACGAACTCGAGCTGTTCGAGATGTCCCAGGCTGTCAAAAGGGCGCACAAAGGGCTATGGATTGCCAAACCTTGTGGCCAATCGAACCCTTCAATAACTTGCTTCTTTTGAAATTCCACGTGCTGGACAAACTCGTTGCGTCACAGTGATGGCTGATTGTCGTGGCCACGAGAAGATTGGCTGGTGATGTGGGCAGCACTTGGAAGCCCAGGAAAGTGCATTGATCTGTTTCTGAAACCTCCTCGTTTCTTGGCTATCTTTTGTAGTCTAGCAGGACTTGCTCTCTATGGATAGGTGGCCCTCTTGCTTCTTGCAAGTCCGCGATGACTATTTTAATACAGTATCTACAAGCCTGTTGAATGACTGTCGTGTGCCAGAGCAGAAGCAAAGTGACAGGGTCGTGGCTGAGCTTGAATCTTCGACTAGCTAGGATTTCGGTTCGATTCATATCAGGCCAGCTACACCCATCTTTGCAGAATACCGGTATCTTTGAAAGACACCAACACCCTGTACTTGCACTTTCACCAAGACTTGGTTTCTTGACTGGACCATGATTTATTTGTATAGCCATTTGGATGTTCACGTGTAAGGCTTTTGCTTTTTGGCTCGCGAAGGAGCAAAAGACAGGACACGAGTGCCCCAAGTCTAGTGCTTGGCTGGCACCACCTGCTTCGTACTCGTACTAGTCTACCGTACGTACGAAGCAAGCAACTACTGGTAGCAGCCTCCTCACTCGAGGACCTAGTCTATCTCCAGCCGTCAGGGGTGAAAAGCTTCCCAATCGGACTGCGGCAAAGGGAAATCCACCCATATCCTACTTGGTTTCTTCCTTTCAAGCTGGCGCATGAAGCCCTCTGGCTGGCTCCTGTACTTTCGTTTGTGACTGAGTGACTGACCGCCCGACTGGACCATTATTTTAGCAATTTGTAGTGCTTGGTTTCGGAAAGGAAGAAAAGCTGCACATGCATCAGATGCTAGCTAGACTACTAATAGCTCTCCACGAGGATCATGTTACCTGGTCTGATGAGGAAGTACTAGTAACGTGCTAAGATCTAGATGCCTCCCGGGTGCCCAGGTTCGTTTTCATTCACTCGTGTAGCCTTCCTCCACCGGTGGCTGGCCAGCTCCAACTATCATACTATCATACCATAGCTCAGGCACTGCAGCAGGCTTTTTCAAGTCAAGTCAACCAAATTTCTGCTGAGCCAGCCAGAGTTACTGCGGGCTTCGTTCCAATAACTCCTATTTCCTTCTGGCAACCGTACTGGAGGTTTGCTACATGTAATGCATAGTTGCCTTTTGGTCCGCCTCCAGATGTAAAAGGCCCCCTCCAGTACATAGCTACTCGAGTAGTATTCCACAGATCTACAATGCCAGTTCGGCGTGGCTATGCCTTGCAATTGCAACCGCAAAAACTTTGATGTGCCACTGCTCTGTCGTACGTATCCCATACTAGCTAGTACAGTACGGTACAGCGTAGATAGAAGCGGGGGGTGGATAATGTGTGGATGTTGAGCTTTGTGGTTGGCAAAGCCTCTGTATCATCAGGTTCATGTGACATGTTCCGATGGAAGAAGCGAAGAGAGTTGCCAGTGTGATGAAAAGCGAAACCAAACGACAAGAACCCCACATCCCACAAGATACTTCCCTCTGAAAAAGTGGGCCTACTGGAACATCACCGAAAGATCTTGAACACAGAGAATCCAGAATTAAAAGAAACTGTGTCATATAGGCCGGTCAATCAATCCTGTCCTGTTAAACCCTTTGTTTGCGATATGGCCCCTTATTGGAAAGGGTAGATTGTCAGATTTAAGAGTGAGGATTGAAGGCGGATCGCAACTGCAAGGTGGAAAGGCTCAAAGCAACTC